CGTTTGCAAAGTACCCCAGATTTTCTTCACACACGTAGGATATAAAATTGATGTAGTAACTTCCATACATATTGTTGCACATATCCTTGACAATTTTATCGATGTTTTCTTTCTTGTTATCTACGAGATAGACTGCATTGACTTCTGGGATGGTGGTTCTCTGTCTGTGTAGATTTAAATTTAGGGTTACTCCGTGGTGCCTTAGATTGCCCACCTTGAGTAAGGGGGCAAGGATGTTCTGCCCCTCTGAGTCGTATATTAATATTTTCCATATTTTGTCGTGGGAATAGTACAGGATATTTCCACTGCTGCTCAGGTTGTCGTTGTACTCGTTCAGGTTCAGCATGCTGATGGCGCTGTTTTTCTGCTGCTCCTGGATGTTCAGCGACATCTTGGGGTGGTACCTGTTTGGAAGAGTACCCGTTTGGAGGGCCAATTCCCGTGCGGGGGACACACTAACTAGGCGGAACGTGCGAAGGGATGACTAACCCCGCAGGTTCACTCGCGCATGTGCGCTGGGCATTTGGGCATTCCCTTTCCAAACATCACGCAATTGGGAAGGTTGCCTCCTGCCTGGGGCGGGGGCACTCCACAGCGGGCTTCCCCTTCGTTTGTTTGTAATTGTACGGCCACGTGTTTAATCTGTTGTTTTACGTGCAAGGGATGATAACTCCCCTGCTTATGGCTGGTATATATGCATACATATACGTACATATGATGCATAAATATACATATATATATGTATTTTTTTTCTTTTCCCCATGTAGCTACCATGGTATCGCTTAAAATTGCAAAGCTGAGCAAGCAGTGCCAAGCAGTTGCGCTTGGACTCCAAACCTTTCGCCCTTTTTAGTCCGCCAATCGTGTCGGATTTTCGCATATTCTACTTCGCACAAGTGCGCCCAGTTTTTCTTTTTTTTTTTTTTTTTTTGGAGCCTCTCCTCCGCTTCGTTGCTACTTTCATGTTGGCATATCACCCCCTCCTCCTGCCACTTTTTATTTACGTTGGGAGATTTGAAATGGACTCCCGTTCGATCCCCTACTTTTGCATTTCGGTTCGCCAAAAAACCAGTGACTAGGTCGCCATTGTAGTTTCACGAAACTGTGCGTATTGCTTGCACTTTCTGTTTTTTTCGTTTTTATTTTTCATCCGTTTAACATGTTAGCGGAAGGAAAACATCCCCAGGGGAGGAGCACTTACACATACATACGTAAATCGTATGCATGAAGGTAGGACTCACTGAGAACTGGCCCAGTTTGGGCATTGCCTCCTCGCGCAGACGTATTACACATGAAAAAGTGGATATACACCTAGTTTGTGGTACACGAATTGCACATTTGCAAAGGGAACGCGACCGGGTCTACAGATCCTCTCTTGGGGGGGTTCCTTTTGTGTAGTCCTTCAAGGTAATTTCATAGTACACCTTGGTGATGTCACCAACGGGGATGCCAACTCGTCTGTATAGGAAAGGGGCAAATGCATGAAGGATGCACATGTGCATGTATGATCGAAGCAGCCTTCAGATATGGACGCGTTCTTTCTTCGAAGCAACATAGTAATCTCTTTATACCTTAGCTCGCCAACGCACATTCCTCGCATTCCCTCATTTAAGGGAGTGACGTTGTGTTCGCCAACCTTAGGGGGGGTGCCAATTGTGCATGATTGGACCGATGCACGTTCGCAGTGTGAAAAAAACGAGCGGCGGAATGGATAGGCGACTAAGCGAGCAACTAAACGAGAGAGCAACTTAACGACGGCGTTCTAAGTGGCAGGAATCGATAGACAACAAGGCGAGCAAATCAACCAATTCGACAAGACACAGACATACGCTCAATTTCCGCGTAATTAAGTGCTCATTAATTTACTATAATTTTCTGTTTGGCGTAGCCAAATTGGTAGTCCTGCGAAATTGGAGGGAGGAAAGTGAGAACGTTGCGTGAACACGTTTCAGCATCGATACACTGGGGAAAGTTATTAAGGGGGATGGGCGCCGGCAAATGCGAGAGGACGCTTTTTTCTTTGCTACCGATACTATGTGAGGCATTATATGCACCCCCGGGGCTGCGTATAACCGATTTGGGAACAGTGGTGAGATAGGAAAAGGGAAAAAGGGAGAAAGGTAATAGGGAAGTAGAGGGGTAAAGTGATAGCACGGCTAATCTATAGGGCGGATAAGCGATAGCGCAATAACTAATTGAGGGAGTCGACGAATGGGCTTGTCGACCACTTAACGAGGGCACTTACAGAAAGTCCTCATTTCAATGTCAGCCTCATCCCCAAGGTCCAGGCCACACCGCTCAGAAGACTCTTGCAAGACACGGACGCTGAATTTATTTTTCATTTCGTATTCGTCCAGTGCGACGTATGCATCATCGTCCGCTTTCGCGATGAATAGGAAGAACAGAAGGAGCAAATAAAAGGGTGATTGCTTCATCTTCTATTGAATAGTGTGTATATATACATGCACTCCGTTCCAGGCGGTTCGCGTTGGTTAGCGGCATTTGCAAGTGCATATGTAGTGTCATATCTTTTTAAGAAGACATAACGTAAAATTTCCTGTTTTGGATTAAAGCATGTGTTACGCGCGCTGAACGGGCGTTTAGTAATGCCGCTGAGCGATGCATCCGTTTTTCCGGCGCAGAGAGAAAGAAGTTTTTCAAAAAAAGGCAAACACATACATATGCGAGTGTCCGACTTTGCCGGTGCACGCGTGAGTGTACTTATGTGTGACTGCCCTTTTCACCCATCGTATTGGTTTTTTTTTTTTTTTGAGTGGATAGGCACACGAGCATTCTACGTGTCAGTTGTACCCTTGCCTGTTTCCACCCGTTTTAGGCAAACGTGAAATTATTGCACACGTGAGAATCGCCTTTGGCATGCAAAGAAGCTTGAAAAGTAGTAAATCATCACAGCCCCCTCCCTCTTCCGTGTATGAAACTGTTTCATAAATGAGAATTCACCTTTTCTTTATTTTTGTCGCTCTAATCAAATGTGCTATTTGCGCGAAAAAGTTTGCACAGGCTGCGAAGTACGCAGGAACATATTTAAGGCATCGTGGTGGGGAAGAAATGACCAAGACGACGCAGAAAAAGCGTCTACACATGAACAACATAAACGCATCAAGAAGCAGCGTAGTAACAGCTAGCCATTTTAAGAGTAACCTTTTTATAAATAAAAATTACGCCAAAGAATGCTTTATTAAAAACTATGACAAAGTGGTGAGTATAGTGCAATTCAGACGTTTCAATAAATTATGGGCCAAAAAAAAAGGAGTGGGAAGCACAAAAAACGGAAGAGATAGTAACCCAAAAAACTTAGGGGTAAAAGTACTAGGAAATAATTTCGCCCATGCTGGTAATATTATAGTTAGACAAAGAGGAAGGACCTTTAAACCTGGTCATGGGGTTAAGCAGGGAAGAGATTTCACCCTTATTGCTACCAAACCGGGGAAAGTCCATTTTTTCAACCGAGTTGTAAGTATCGTCGATGTGAGTGACCCAAAGCCAATGACCTATACGGACGTGTATCGACAAGATCCAACCATCTTGACTTTATCGAGGGTATGGACCTCAGAGAAGTGAGCAGACGATGTTGGAATGGAAAGGAAGATCGTAAGGAGGTGTAGATGGAGGTGTTGTTTCTGGTGTGTGGAGAAAACAATAGGCTCTTTTACTAACCACATTTATGCGTTCATGTGTAAAGAAGAGCATGTGTGCGTTTTCTTAAATTTCTAAAGTATCTTTTTTTTTTTTTTTTTTTTGTGAATAGACTAAAATTCGATTTTAATTTTCCCTTGGGCAAATGCAAAATGGGATTAGAACTTTATGTAGATATTGTTGAGTCCGTTTTTCAGCCTATTTGTGACTGACATACGAAATTTTTCAACCATTTTTTAAATATTTCTTAAACTATAAAATGTTCCTTGTTATGTTTAAGCGTTTCTTCATCGCTTTAAAGTGTGCCGACTGTGGGATTATCCCATTTGCAAGAAAGCTGGAGAAGGAACAGATAAGGTTGTCAAAGCGAATTGGTGAAAAATGTCGCATTCCTTATGTGGTATCGTGAGAGAGTCCCATTTTGGAAAATGTGGACAGTCCGTAATTCCCTTTTTTGCATAAAGACTTAATAGTTTTGAAAAATATGAACGCTTCATGCTTTTTTTTGTAGGAGTCATTTGTTTTGAAAAAATATGACCGGTTCATATTTTTTTTTTTTTCTCTTGTGTGTGCAGAATGGCTCACTTATTTGTAAGCGTTTGAGCAGTATCTAGTTGGTTTTCCCCTCCGAGTTCATCATCAATGAAAAACGGACGCACAACCAAATGGGACCAATTACATTTTCTTTTGAAAGCAACAAATGTACTCCTACTGCGTGAAGAATAGATCAGTGCTTCCTTCACAAATTGGAGCAAAAATCTATCCTTATGACGTTATGGTTATTTGTTAGCTCAAATAAAAAATAAAAAAAAATAAAAAATAGCTAGCTAGCTGCAGTGCAGCTGGTTAAAAATGAACAAAACAACGGAGTATATATACTTCCATAATTGTCTACAGTTGCAAAATATGTGGTGTTACAACAAACATTTAAAAATTAATTCGTTTTTTTCGGGAACAAAATATCCCCATTTCTGAAGAGCAAAAACAACAAAAAAACTCCTGTGTGTTTAGTTCCCTTGCAGGTTACATCGCAGGGGGACGCTAGTCGTTTTAACGCTTTGTAAAAGTTTGACCAGTTGGTTTGCAATAAAGGCGACGTACTTATAGTTCGCGTTATACGAGTGGCACACGCAGATGGGCACAAACGGGTGCGGAAAAAAAAAGAAAAAAAAGGCTTGCATTGTCGATTGCACTTCAGTTAGGCAAAGGCAAAATAACCAGACAGGAGACTGCCACTTGAAATTCTTTCACAAGAAGGGGCGAAAATAAGCTGATTGATTGGTCCGTGTATCCCCGCCCCCCAAAAAAGCAGCAACAACGATATAGCAGCGATAACCACGACGATGTATGGGAACCAGAGGACGAATCACGAGTACGCACCCCCCATGGTGATCAATGTGAACAACAAGCAAGTGAATCCCCCACCTTTAAGTTACAGAAGCTACCCACCGAGGAGTATAAATCTGGGACCAGTTAGCAATCAACATGAGTCAAACGCAAGCGATAACATGAAGAATTATGTGCAATATTCTGGCCACCGAAATGTCTCTGAAATGGAGCCCTTGAAACATACCACTTCGCAATATATACCAAGGAGAAGAGACGAACGACAGAAAACGATGGGCGTCATGGGCCTGGCCAATCAGTGGGACTTGAACAGGGCCGACATAAACCACATTGTAGCCAATTACACAAATTCAATTCGAGTCCCGACCAACCACAGCTCTGATGGTAGCAGTCAGGTGAGGACATTTCACAAAAATAGGCCAGAATCTGTTAGGGAAATTCCCCCATTCCAAGTTGATAAAAGTAAAATGAATTATCTTCCGGCAGAAAGGAACACCACACCCATCAGTGTTGAGAGCGAAATGGACAGTAAGAAAGATATGTCATTCCTGGGAAGGGAATACCAATCTGTGTACCTTAGTAGAAATCAAAATGACTATGTGGTAGAACAGAAGGGGAGACATCCAACAATGTCAAGTCAGGGGGGGGAAAAAAAAAGTGTCACGGTAAGTACTAGTGAGAAGGATACCTTTCTGGGCGGTCTCAAGAGGGAAAATAACATTGCCATTTCGACAAGTTTACAGTCAAGCGGTGATGAGAAATTTATCAAAGGTCAAGCACAGGTGAGTAGGAACAAAGCAGATGGAAAAAAGGTGGAAAAGAAAAATAGCAAAATAGGTGAAGAACTAAAAAGTGATCGGCTGAGTACTCCCCGTAAGGGGAAGAACGATCACGTGTTAGGTAGGGAGACCATGCAGGAATACCGGCTTAGGAATGGAGAAAAGGAATATACATCTCCACAACGTGATGGCAAAAGTGCGAAAAACGGTGAGTCCTCTACCAAAGCGCCAATACATCGAAGCTGTAGGGAACAATTACCACACAACCTTTCAATCAATTTGAAAAGAGACATGTTCGACATGACCAAAGGGTTACGAATTTTCGACCATATGATAATTGTAGATAGAAATAGTGTACTCAAATTGTGGAATGGCTTTGAATGGAAGAGAGTGAAGAGTTATTTCCAATTTGTGACTAAGGCTAGATATGACCGTAGGGGACACCTGTGGTGTATCAATAATTCGTACGAGCTACTCAAAAGGATGAAAAAAAAATTTAAAAACTTTGGGAATTTAGCTAACGAAGAAATTGTAGATATCAGTTTTGATAAAAAAAATCTCTTATGGTGTGTTAATCGTAAGGGAGAGTTGCTCAAATGGAATAGAACCAAATGGACTAAAGTGAGATTTTCTGGATTCCATAAATTGATTAGTGTGGCCTTTGACAGTAGGGGAGATTTGTGGGCTATCAACACGAAGAGGGCGTTGGCGATCTGGTGTGAAAAGGACAGTTGCTGGAATGAAAAAGTTGTGAAGGATGATTTGAAAATATGTGCCATCGATTTTGACAACGATGGGCATATCTGGGTCGTATCCACTGCGGGCGCGCTGTTGACCTATTCGCAGGGTCACTGGGTGAACTTTGGCTACGTCTCCTTGGACCGCTTGATTTCGGTGGGCTTTAGGAAGGTCCGCGCGGGGTAGCCTGTGGGCAGTGGAAAAATGTCTCGCTCGGTCCATTTGGGGAGGGCGCATCCCCTTTTGACAAGGATCCTTTGAATGAGTCCCCTTTTTCTCTCCTTCGCATTCCCCTGCTTCATCTGCCTGCTTCCACAGATTCCATACTACATTGCATGCCTTCTAAAATTACGACTATCTATGTGTGCGACGGTATTTTGTATACATGTGATCCTTTTCATTGTGCCTTTCGTTACGAATTGACTCGGTTTGCGACGCAAGGGCAGAACAGAGAACCTCCTGTTGCATGCCAAGTGGGGAGTCTTTCTCCACCACATGTGAAGGAACTAAAATGCAGACACAAATCCGCATAGAGGTTAAGCGTACTTTTTTTTTTTTTTTTTTTTTTTCTTTTTCTAATTCCTCAGACATATCGGTTTCAAAAGCAGAAAGGGATAGCACACAAAAGCTTCCACGTGGGGTAATAAATTGGGGGTGAACCGCTAAGCAGCTAAACAACTCGTGGAATGCATGAGTTTCTACCCCTTTCCCCGTCACGCGGCGACGTACACCTATGATGAATGTGTACAGAACGCACGCCCGAGTGTATGATAAGAAGGAGGGAAAGCCGCTGGGCCAGATGTGCCACACGCGTGGAAGAGGGAAAAAGGACGAATTGAAATGTTTGGAAAATCATTGCAGCAGTTTGGGGAGAGTCACAAATGAAGTGGTTTTGGGTGTGTATGTTGGCCAAATATGGCGTGTTTGAAGATCACCCGGTGGGATGGTGGCCTATGTTTTACGGCCACCTTGTTCGAAGAGAATATATATAAAATAAAAAAAAATAAAAAAAAAAAAAAAAGGGAACACCCTCCAAATGCAGGAATCCAAAGAGCAACACGGCAACGCAGCAACGCGTCAAGGCTCCGCGGCTCAGTAAACCCTTTTGACCGGAGGGACGTGCTCCATTTCGTCATCCAGCGGCTTCGTGATGACGCCCCTGTAGGTGGTGAAAAATTTCGCCTTCTCAACGTCCCTGTCAGTCATCCAAGTTAGGGAGTGTTTAAGAAAGGCCCTATCGTCTCGCTCGGGGAAGTCGTCCCTTGCATGGGCCCCCCTGGACTCTTTTCGATCTATGGCGGCTAAAATGGTTTGAGAGGCCAGGGTTAGTAAATTCTCCAACTCCAGCGTTTCGATCAAATCAGTATTCCAAGTTAACGTTTTGTCCTTAACGTACACATCATTAAACTCGGAGCAGATATTAAGTATCTGTCTGTATCCTTCTTCTAGGAGGGGTCCGATTCTGAAGACAGCAGCATGTTTTTGCATGCAGACTTGCATTTTTTTACGTATCTCTGCTGTTGAAATAGTTCCTTTGTTGAATCTGATTTTGTCTAGCCGTTGTATCGTTTCATCCCCTATATCTGCAGGCGCACTGATGAAGGGGATATTTGGCTTATCAATTTCCATGATGGTTAGGGAGGCCCTTTTTCCGAAGACGACAATGTCTAGGAGAGAATTAGCTCCCAATCGGTTTGCCCCATGAACGGATGCAGAAGCTGCTTCTCCTGCTGCGTATAGCCCTTTGACAATAATATCATCATCATCTTCGGATGTGCTCCCCCCTTTGAATAAATTAACCTTCTGTGTTAGCACTTGCGTTTTATAATTGGTTGGTATACCTCCCATGTTGTAATGCACCGTTGGAAGAACAGGTATGTACTGATTGGTGACGTTAACTCCTGCAAATATTTTGGCTGTTTCCATTATCCCTGGCAGTCTTTCCTTCAACGTCTCGTAAGGCAGATGTGTCAAGTCGAGGTAAATATGATCTGCATTAGGGCCACAACCTCTACCTGCATTTACTTCTATAGTCATGGCTCTACTGACTACATCTCGACTAGCCAGATCTTTGGCTTTAGGGGCGTATCTCATCATGAATGCTTCTCCTTCCCTGTTCCTCAGTATGCCTCCTTCCCCTCTACACCCTTCAGTAATTAAGCAGCCAGCTGGATATATTCCTGTGGGGTGGAACTGCACAAATTCAAGATCCTGCAATGGTAGCTTGCTCCTCGAAACGATTGCATTTCCGTCTCCTGTGCACGCATGTGCTGATGTGCAAGACAAGTAAGCTCTACCATACCCCCCAGTAGCAATTACCGTGTGAGCTGAAAAAAATCGGTGAATCTTCCCATCCGCTATATTTAAGCAGATAACACCAATGCATTCGTTTGCACTGGCCATTAACAAATCTAGTACAAAGTATTCAACGAAGAAGACGCAATTGTATCCTAATGATTGGCCATACAAGGTATGAAGCATTGCATGTCCTGTTCTATCCGCGGCAGCTGCACATCTGTATGCTTGTCCTCCCTTCCCATATTTTAAGCTTTGCCCTCCAAATGCCCTTTGATAGATTTTTCCTGATTTTGTTCTAGAAAAGGGTAAGCCAAATTCTTCCAGCTCCAAAACGGATGCAGGTGCTTCTCGACACATATATTGAATTGCATTTTGGTCCCCTAGCCAGTCGGATCCTTTGATCGTATCGTACGCATGCCACCTCCAGTCATCTTCCGTCATATTGCCTAATGCGGCGTTTATGCCCCCTTGTGCTGCGACGGTGTGTGATCTTGTTGGGAATAGCTTAGTTATACATGCCACTTTGTAATTATTTTTGGACAACTCCAATGCGGAGCGTAGCCCTGCTCCTCCTGCGCCCACTATCACCGCATCGTAGTGGTGATCCACAATTTCGTATGCTTTCTTTTTCACACTTGAGAAGTTAAGGCGGGTCGCAAGCACAGAGGCGGGATAACACTTGCGTCGAACGGTGAACATTATTCTGGGTAATGGTTATCTGGGCTTGCGATTGGCAGGATACGAGAAAGGTAAAAAAAAAAAGAAAAAAAAAAAAAAAACGGGGAAAGCGTTCAGGAGGAACCACTACAGATGGCTGAGCTGACTAAATCGACCAGGTTGACCAGGCTGACCAGGCTGACTAAACTGGTGCAATGCTTCTTGTCTCGGGTTACCCGCATGGGAAATATGCATTGCACAGGTGTTTTTTCTCCCCCTTGCAGATCCAAAGTGCCGAGAATCTTCTTCTGTTTCCAAATTGTCGTTAAAGCGATGGCAGGTGTACACTTCGCGTATGTGCACTGGGTGGTTGCTCAACTCGGGGGAAAAAGGAAAACAGTGGTAGGGAGAGAATTAGAGCAATTCCTCCGGTATGCTACTAACATGCTGAGATGTATGACGCTGGGAGAGAAGCGGATCCAATGAGAACTTACACATGGTTTAGTTGGCATGTTTTTTTTTTTTTTAAATGCAAAACTGGTTATTAGGGACGAGGATTTCTTAATCGTGAAGTAGCCACTGTTTTTTTTTTCTTCTTCTGGATCGTTGGTAGGGCGCCAAACGGTGGTGAAATGTACCTGACTGAGCGACCGAACAAGTCGCTATATCAGCGCGATCAGGTTAACAGCTCGTACACGCACCGTGGAGGAAGGTGCCTCCTCCGTGCGCAAACATGGTTAACAGATGTGATGATCACATAGCATAGAGATGGAGGTATTTTTTTTTTCTGTTTTTTCCGTTTCTCCCTCGCGTGGAAAATGGTCCGCCACCGGGTCGGGGGTTTTCCACCCCAACTACGATGCCGTTCGCGTGAAATTTGCAACCAGTCTTAAAAGTCGTGCGTACTGCACGTCCAGGTGCTCATTTTTTAATTTCGCTGAAGTGAACTAAGGTGTTCTATTCTCCCTCAGAAGATATTAAGCCATCACCAGAAGTGGACCTGTGCTCGCCTATGTGTGGTAAAAATGGAAAAATCGATCGTTGTCAATAGGTTAAAAAAATGAAGCCCCACAGGATAAAGAGAAGAGAAAGCACATAATAAGAAATTCTTCGCACTCTTCACGCTGTTCAAACTGTTCACTTTGCCCACGTTTCCTTGTGCGGTACAGACACCGGAGGGGAGCGACCATCTACCTGCTTCGATAGGCACCAGGGCACCAGAGTTGCCTACACAGGTGCGGAGAAGCGCAAAAAATGCAGCTAACACGACATTCACCAGAAGCTGCGCGCACGGGGACGCAAATCTGCGCACAACAATTTAGGGAAAGAAGAAATGCGCATTAATTAATGCATTAAGTGAAGCTACCAACTTGATCGTGCAAGTCGTGTAAAGAAGAACACAAAACCAAAATATGCCTCCTCTACAAGGCGAAAAGGAAAAAAAAAAAAAGTGCAGTGAATAGATGCATAAACATGTTTCCCCCAACATATACAAGAGGGTGATACACCACATGGGTAGAGGAATACCTCGGTCAGGCCGACCTAAAGAGATGCCCCACATTAGTGGGGGGGGCACAATCAACACTTAACGTTGGAACGGCGTTAACTATTCATGTAACATGTGTCAAAATGTTGCAGGCGTGTTTATTTATTTGCTTTATTTATTACTTTTTTTTTTTCTTTTTTCCCTTTTGCACGGTGACCAACCCAAGTGCATCCTCTCGAAAGGCATCAAACCCAAATATAGAAGAAAAAAAAAAAAAAATCCCAAATTGTGACATTGCGACATTGCAGAATGTGTGATTAATCTGTGTGACCGCGCAAGCCTCTTTCGAAAAATAAAGAAACGATCCAAGGGTGGACACAGAGTGCGTGCAGTAGTCTCCCAAGAAAAACTCCCCTGACCGGAGCAGTCGGCCAAATCGTAGATATATGTAGGTGAGGAAACAAACATACAGGCGCTGCTGAACGAAGGCTAGAAGATCCCCTCTCCCTGCAGGCGCATAACTGCCGCTTGGCCCTTCGCATAATAGGCTCTACCCCATTCATGCGTATGAATATGTGCATACAAGCTAGTATACATTTTAGATTTCTTTTTCTCTTTTCGCCCCCCATCAACCCTAAAAAGTCCTAAACCTGGTTCAAACATGAGAGGTTACCTCGACGATGCGCCTCTCCTTCTAACACACACAAATTAACTAACCCGAGTTGGAAAAATAAAATAAAAATAAAAGCCATTTTTTTATGAAGAGAAGAAGCACTTCCACCCCACAATTGGTTGCGGGGCGATTCGGAGAGGTCCATAAAGTGTAGCATTTCCGTTTTGCCCTTATGGTGGAGAAGCATAATATGAATACATGCCCGTTTATGTGTATAGGCACCAAGAAATTTCCCCCCCAGCATCCCGCCGCACTTTCACCCTTCTGATCCGTACTCCAGAGTGAAGAAGGAATTTCATAGGGAAAACACCTCTACCATCTCAGGCCCCATCTAGAGTAGACACATCCATGCAGAGTTTTGCAACCAGGTGGCGTACTCAAATTGGGAGGACGAACCAGCACGTCCGTTTCTCTTGTATGACTTTTCTCATCACGAAGTGAGGGCGTACACATTGCAGTAGACAAGTCACTGAGAAGGATGAGATGATACTCCATTCCAGTCCAAGTTAGCTGCCCCATTCAAAAGCTTCCCCCCTCCTTGAAGAAAGACTCAAAATAGTGACGCTAAAATGGTAAATAGGCAAAATGGCTTCTTCTCTAAACTGACAGGTATATGCTTTAGAGTGAGAGAAGGGATAGACGTGAGAACGGGATGAGAACATCTGTCAAGGGAATAATATGCACACATGTTTTCGCAGTCATGTCTACGAAAAAGGAGAATGCTTGTGCCGCTTTTCATTGGGAAAGCTCCACAAGTATTTGTGTTCGCTCCCCTTCGGCGTCCATCTCGTCCATCCCGTCCATCTCGTCAATCTCATCCATGTCGCCCATCCCGTCCATCCCTTCCCCTTCATCTTTTCTTCTCTCGGCTGATAGGCCTCACCTCTTCCGTGTTCAACTTAAATTTGGAGAACATCCACGAGGCCGTGGATGAAAATTTAACCGCCCTGGAAAGAGCTGTACTGTACGGAAACAGCAGCAAGAAATGCCGGAAGATAATATTTGTTAAAGAGTTAGTGAAGTCCCTAAATAGTATAGACTATGATGATTTTAAGAAGGTGATTTATCCTCTGCTTGTAAAATTAAGCAACGATAAAGAAGAAATACAATACGAGTTGTGTTGCCAGATGGGCGACCTGTGTGCGTACTTGCTGCAGAATAACAATGGGCCGGATGGGTCCGCGGATATTATTAAGTTTCTCTTCCCCATCCTCGAGCGGATCATCAGAAATGGGCAAGGCGGGAGTGTCATCGGGAATATCGGCGGGACTATCGGCGACAGTGTCTGCAGTGGACACGTACTCGCGAACGCGATGAAGGCGCTCCTCATCCTAGCCACGCACATCAAAGCCAAGTACCGAAAGAGCATAATCTTCCCCTTCATACTCTCGCTGACGTCCACCGAAAAATTCAAGAACCTGGGATTCGTTCTCTTGATTAAAATTTCCCATATATTTGAGAGAGAAATGGTGTCCAGGTACTTGTTCCCATGCATCGAATCCTTCGTTAGGGGAAAAGACGAAGAGAGCAAACTGTTCCTGTCCTGTTACCTGCATAATATATGCAGAATTGTCAAGGAAGAAGAGTTGTTAGTGATATTTTTTATGCTGAAATCGCTATGTAATGATCCTAATGACATCATTAAAATAATTAGCCTGTACAATTGTGTGCATGTGTCATGTCTTTATTCAAAGAGTGTCTTTCTCCACTTTTTCGTTCCTGTGTTTAATGATTTTCTGAAGAATTCAAATTTGTACATATTTTACTATGCCTTGATAAATCTGCTCCTTTTTGTTTGCCTTTTTGAGGACATGAATCTTATTCATCCCTTTTACATTCACAAGATGATTTTTTTTTTCAATAATCTTTTTTCTTCCCACTTGTTTACGTTGAATTATCTGAACGACACCGCCAAGCGGCAGAGCAGCTACGCTTTGGTAGGCGTCCCCCGGGGGGGAGAAGCGCCACCCACAGTGGGGGAAGCACACAAGACAGAGGAACCACACCAAGGGGCCGAGGAAGACATTTTGAGCAACCCGAAGGTGGACGTGCCAACTGGTATTACTGCTTCTAGAAAGGAAGGACCAAGTAGCGACTCAAGCGAAATATCTCATGGTCAGTCTAGCGAACACAACGGGGGGAGAAGCCACACATCACACCTCTCAGCAAGGGATGAATCGGACGCATCCGAAAGCAACTATGAGGGGAAGCGAGAACTACAGCAAGAGACGACACTCACGATGAACTGCGTAAGTGTGAAACGAGGCCTCCTTAGCCAGCCTGTCAGTATGACGGAGCTGAAAGAAGAGGCGGGGGTCCAGCAAATGGGGGGAAGAAGATACCATTCAAAATCGGACAATCATTTGAAGGAAAATTATGCTGATGACGCTGCACAGACTAACACATTCGAAGATGTCAACGGAGGCGAAAATGGAACAGCATCTCTGAAGAGCGAATTATCCCTTTTCCCCTCGTCGTCCTCCTTGCTGGAGTCATACAATGCCACATCACTCCTTCCGTCTCTGCTGCCATCCCCGTCCACGTCCTCGCTCATCACCCCAGGATCAAGCTCCATTTTTGTCAACAATGGCTTCATTAACGACCTCATAATAAGCAACAATCATTTTGCGGTGAGCGTACGCCAGTTTTTTCAAGTACACGGTGAAGAACCTGGGGGAGCGAGAGAAGAAACCGAGGAGAAGGGCCCCCTACACGAGCAGTGGTGCACCCACCAGGGAGAAGCTCAAAAGGGAGACGAACTCTCCAAGAAGAAGGGCATCCTCTTAGGGGAAGAAGAAGAAGAAAAGGAAAAAGAAGAAAACGAAGAAGAAGAAAAAGAAGAAAAAGAAGGAAAAGAAAACGAAAAAGAAAGAAAAAAAAAACAGGAGAACCACCCCACATATGTGGGGAACCATAATGATGAACTTTTTAACCTCACCGATAATGACATCACCAGCATAGACAGCATATTTAATCACGATAAAACGATTGACATAAATCAAATTAAAGGATGGTACTTCAGTGATGTGGATCTAATCAAGGGAAACATGGCATACGGGGCGATGTTTCTTCAGAAGGGGGGGAAAATAGATGCCCATAGAGAGCGACGTCCACGTAAAATCCACTTAAACCAAAAAGAAGAAGACATTTATAACGTCGAAGCGGTGAATGCAGAGGCCCTCAAGAAGAAGTTTTTATTTGACACCCCAAATAACATCATCGTGTCTCACAACATAAACGCAGTGTACATCACGGCCCTGCACATGCCTACCCTCATCCTAGTGCTCAAGCAACACTTCTTCAGATTTTTCTCTCACGTTTTTTTTTTTGTATGTACCTATCCGTACTACATTATTAGGAAGACCATGGCGTCTTTATTTTATGACATTTTGATAAATTTTCTGGAGCCCTCGGATTTTTTAGAAGTGACTGTTGATGAGTTAAATGAGGAAGAAGACATGATGACCAGATTTAGGAAGAGCGGAAAGGATGCAATTTCAAAGAACAGGAGTGACGTGTTTTCCTATCCCCACCTCGTCAAAGTGGATTATGGAAAACAACGAGGTGGTAACAATTACTCCACTAGAAAGGATTTTCCTCAAATCACGCAAACATTCAATGTAGACTACGCCACGTACTGCAATATGAAACGCATACAGAACATGCAATCGGTGAGAAGTGATGAGAAGATAAGTAATCTGCACAACAGTAGTTGGTCGGGACGTGAACTGGGTGAGAGTACGCACCCTACGTCAAACGGACCTACCGAGAAGCAACAAGAGGGGGATAATTATTCAGACTGTGGATATTCGCAGGGGGGGATCCACGACCAGGCCGCTAACCAAGTGAGCGAAGATGTGGGAACCCAAATGGACAAAGGGTCCGAACAAACTCTCCAGGAGAGAACCAACATAATCAAACGAATGCAAAGTGAAATTAATGCCAACCTACACGAAAGCGATTTTTTTAGAAATGAAGAAAACGAAAACTGTTTTTTTTACAAAAAATTTCTACACAAATATGAAGCTGTATATGAGAGATACATTCAAAGGTTTCGAAAATATTACAGTGAAGATTCTTCCCTTTTTTTTTTCCACTTTTTCGTCTGTTACTTCTTGAGGGATTCAAACGTCCTGGTTAAGAAGGCTATCCTTAAGAGGTACGACAAGATGGTTTTACTCTTCCCGGCGCTCGTACAGAAGGTGCTCATGTCGTACTTGTCTCATGTGCTGGATTACAAGACGCTGGATTATTCCCTGCGCAAGAGGGTGTCGAAGGTGATCTTCCGGATGCTGTCCTGCGCAGAGGATGCTCTGGTTGTCCGCACGTTCCTCTTCCCCCTATTCCTCAGGTGGGTGCGCCACGGTAGAAGCGCTTCACTTGCTGTGTTGACGAGACCGTTCTGGCGTGGCCATACTATCTAGGCGATGCTATCAGGGCGATGCCAGCGAAGAACCGCATGTAGCTTCCTCTGATCACTCGATTTGTTGGTTCCACATGTCCTCTCACTCCCTTCCCACCCATTGCAGACTCTGCAAAGACGGCGTCGCCACCATTCGCACCTACACGGCTAGCTACTTCTACCTATTCCTCGAAAAGGGGTGCCCCCAGATATAGTACGAACAAAAAGGGATCCTTAAAAGGACACCCTTAAAAAGGGGCGCGTGAAAAGAGTGCGAGGCTCTCCTGCGGTGTGACCCCGCGGCTCATTTCACCACCGCAGTAATTAAACTCACCACAGACACGAAACAGTTATGAATTATTTTCCCTCCTTGTCCTTTTCCTTCGCAGTAACTTCTTCAAGGGGGGGGGTGAGATATTGCCTATAGAAGAGTATAAGAAAGGTGCGCCTGGGGGAGGGGCAACTCGGCTGCGCGGAATTGCTTTGCGTTGTGTTGCGTTTCTTTGCTTTTCGTTGCTTTGCTTTATTCCCTTTTTTTTCAGATCCATTTACGTGTGACATTGCGTGCCCCCACTCATGTTGCTTTGCCCCACGTCCAAAATTACAGACAGGATACTGACAAATGGAGAGAAGTACAAACTGAGGAGTCGGTACTTCACGGGCGGGGACGAAATTTCCCTCATCAAAACAGTTTTAGTGATGTTTTCAAGGTAGGGACGGATCTGAAAAAGTGGCATTGCACTGCACTTACACGGTGTGTGTTTACTTTGTTTGCAAACGAGTCGCAAGAACAGATTAGGCCACTTCCAATGTGTGCCTTTTTTGCGGAGCCTTTTCGCCAAGTGCACTAATTTAGGAGGACTTCTCTACCCCGCCTTTTCTCTTCCCCGCAGGAGTTGCCATTTCTTTGACCGCCAGATTTTTATAAAGATGTGCGACGGGATTATCAAGTAGGGGCGTAAAAGGCGCAGCGTTGTGCGAGGCGTATCCCTATGATAGGCGTGTCTCCGTTGGAAGCGCATCGCCATTTTGTCTGTCTAGCCAGTGTAGCTCGCGCTTGAAGCAGGAAGGCCTACTTTCCTATCTTCCGTCTTCTCTACTTTACTCTGCCCCTCTCCCCCCTCCTTTTCAGCGAATGCCCATCGAACCTCTTCCTGTTGTACTTCCTAAAACCATTTGTAAATTTATCCGTCGACAAAATTAAAGTTGTCAGAACCACATGGGATAAGTGTGTAATTTCGCAGCTTAAGAAAAAGGAACACTTTCTGAATGCGATAAATGTAAATAAAAAAAGAAAAAAAAAAAAGTGCAGCAGTAGCTTCGTACCAGTGGCCCAACCGGATTCTCATTGTATGTATTTCTGATCCACGAGTTATTTCTTAAAAAGAAAAATGTACTCTTTCCATTTTACCCCCTTTGCAGATTTTGTCCAAGCAAAAAGAAATGTATGCACAGCAGGCCACGACGACAGTAGATAAAGACAATTCTCCCACGCCAAACGAAAAGGATTGCGATAATGTGCTCGATAAAACCTTTGACATTCACGACTTGAATGATTAAGCTGGTTCGTCTGACTCGGTTGACTAGGCTAACTAGACTCGGATGACAGCCAAGCTCTTATGGTAGAACTGCCCATATGTCAGTAGCCCCCCGTTTTGCAGCTCGTCAGGATATGCATAGGCTCGCGGAGGGGGAGGAATTTACACCCTTATCGGCCTTGAACCGGTTCCTCATTCAAGTGTCGTGTAGCCGTCTTTAACACTTACTCCTCCACTGCGCAGGGTTGCGAGTTCTGGAAGGGATTAGTATACCGCTTCCCTTTGGGAGCGGCCATAGGAAGCGAGCTCCGCGGAGGGCGTTTAGCCAGCGCGTGTATGGCTGAGCGATCGCATATGTGTGCGGGCTTATGCGAGGCACGTCTTTTGTTACTCCCCTTCGTGCACACACAAAAAAGGGAAATCCACCACGATGCTTCCTATTTGTCAATGCATTGTTACTTCGTTATGTGTTGCTGATTCGCTGTTTTCATCTTGATGCATGGCGAACTTCCCTCCCCACCTCGCCGGCAAGGGCGACGTGGCCAGATGGTTACTGTACAGTTGCGTCTTTCGCCCATTTGTCTGCCGCCCGTTTCTCTTCCGCTCGTTTTCCTTCCACTCGTTTGTTTTCCACTCGTTTGTCTTCCACTCGTTTGTTTTCCACTCGTTTGTCTTCCACTCGTTTGTCTTCCACTAGTTTGTCTTCCACTCGTTTGTCTTCGACCTGTTTATCTGCTGCGTTGGGGAATGAGGCAGTAGATACCCTCCTGTTCCCTGCACACCCTTCCGTAGAGCAATTCCAAAGTGGTCTTGTACGGGGGAAGGGGTTACATTTTAGAAGACGCTGCCATGGGGAGGTGTCTACAGTTATGCAAGTGCCTGCTCGCAATTTTCTATGCGACTTGTAACGCGGTTCATCGGGAGGTCTCCAATCTGAGGGATGGCTAAGCGGATCACCTCGGATAGAGCTTGATCAGAATGACGCGCTTTCCATTCTGGACATGCCAAAACGTTTCCTCCACGATTGCAATTTTAGCCAAATGCCTCATCAGGAAATTCATTCGGACGTTCACGTGTTGGGAAGACTTGGCTTCACTTAGCTGCAGCGACAGAGCAGAGTTAGTAATGTTATTTCTAACTTTGCATATCGAAGTGGGTCCACCTTCGGAAGTACTCTCCCGAGACTTTTTATTTCTTTTTTTCTTTTCCCCCACCCCTCCCTTTTGGGTGACCTTGCTGTCGCTTTGGCTGTGGCTGTCACAAATTAGAAGGATGTCTACGGGATTTCCATTTCGCAAAAATTTTTTAATTTTACAAATTTTTCTTTCCATGTCTGTCATTTCGGAGTTATAGTAGATTTGAATCTTTTTCGTTTTGGCCGATGGGTCTATGTTGTAGTGGAGGGTGTTCGTTTTGTTCTTCTTCATCTTCTTCCAGTAATGGATGGCGACAGGGCCCCTCTCAGACAAGTGGGATTCTGCATCTTGTGGCATTTTCTCTGTTTCGTCATATGGCGTAACCTGCGAGTGGTCTCCGTCTAACTGAGACTCACCATTTGAACTGTTGACATTTGTCTTTTTCTGAGACGTGTTTCGTCCCACCTGTGTTGTGTCATTATTTGAATCTCTGCGGCCTCCCTGGGCAAAGCTCAGGTAAGACGGATTATTCTGCCCGAGACACTCAACAATGTTCCAACGGTGGATGGATGGACTCCAATTTTGCGAATACTTTTTTAAAAGGAATAATTTGATGGCATTTACTATGACATGATATTGGGTGTATCTGCTCTCATAGTGAGTCGCCTCTTCAAAGGAGCCCATTTTTCTGTTTACCCAAAAGGGGCGAGTAAAAAAAGTAACCTTCTTTGCAAAAGGTGCGTAGAAATATGTATAGAACTGATTTGCTTCGCTCAAATTTTCCTTCGGGAACAGAATTATTTTTTCGTAGATGACGAGTACATTCATGTTACTCTTTCGTAGCACACGCATACACACAGACACAAGGAGGGGGTGGGGGGCACGAACTTAGTCAACTGGGTTGACAAAACGGGCCAACGAGAAACGTTTAATTGAGTTAGATTTTTTTTCTTTTTTTTCTCTTTTACCTTTTTTCCTCTTTTTCCCTTTTTCTCTTTTTCCCTTCAGTTTTATAGTCCCCTTTTCCTAAACGATTTGTTTTGCCATGTGAATAGCGAAACTGCTTACATTGTACAAACTTACACGTGCAAAAAAGGGGAGGAAAAAAAAAAAAAAAAACAAGCAAGCAAACGAACGAAAAAATTAACTCCTCAAAATTGGAAAGGGAAAATGAAAAAAAATAAAGTAAATAAAAAATATAAGATATAAAATAAAAAAATAAAATAAAACAAAAGGGGGCAAACATTTCTCGATTAATGCTAACAGTATGCTCCTTTAAAGGCAAGGAACCAAAAAAAAGAAGAAAAAAAAAAGAAAGGAAAGGAATAAGAAAAAAAAAAACGTGATATAATGTCGTATGAGATAAGTTCGAAACACGTGCGACGCGTCACGCCCTATGGTACTGTGCTTAGGGTGTAAAAAATATATACTCTGCGAAATTGTGAAAGGATAATATTGGAGGCCTCGGCAGGGGTGGGGGGAAAGACACGAAGCAGGGAGAGGCACCAACTGGAGAGATTCACACAACTAAGGCGTCGCACACGAGGCAGACACACCAAAATTCGGGTCACGGGACAAGGAGCAAGCAAAACGCTGGTACCCTCTTGGATGCGGCCCTAATCAAGGAACAAATTTCCCCTTGTGCACAAAATGAGCTAATGAGCTTCCTTTTTTGAGAAAAAAAAACGAAGAAAAAAAAAAAAGAAAAAAAGAAAAATGCAAATCGCTTCAAACTCCCATAAGTGACTAGCCAACGGGCGTATATATGTGCATAGACACCTATAAGCACTTGTGTTGCCACCAAAATTGTGAAGACCTTCCTCAGAGGAACGCGCGACACACACAGACATACACACAAAAGTAAGAAGCCAAAATGGGCATACTTTTCTCCTCCATACTCCCCCGCCTATTTTCAAATAGAGAAATCAGGATACTCATATTAGGCCTGGATAATGCGGGTAAAACGACCATCCTGAACAGACTGCAGTTGGGAGAAATCGTCCAGACAATTCCAACAATTGGATTTAATGTAGAAAGTGTAAGCTACAAGAACTTAAAATTACAGGTATGGGATTTGGGGGGGCAGTCATCCATTCGACCCTACTGGAGGTGCTACTATAAAAATACGAATGCCATTATTTACGTCATTGATAGCTCGGATGGCGAACGTTTGGTCAGCACGAAATGGGAAATTAACATGATTCTTAAGGAGCCAGACCTGGAAGGAGTACTCCTGGTGATCTTTGCAAACAAGCAGGATGTTCAAAATTGTCTTTCTATAAGTGAGATATCTAAGGATTTAAACTTAACTGCTATACGAGATCGGCAGTGGGCTATTTTCAGCACCAGTGCTACGAAGGACGTAGGGATTACAGAGGCTCTGGACTGGCTCGTCAGTAACATCAAGTGATTTGTGGAACTGACTCCGTTCTGTGTGCCCTTTTTTTCCCCTAGCTTCACAGCTTCACTTCGCCGAACTTTTCAATCATTTTTTTTTTCTTTTTCTTTTTTTTCAAGTTCCCCATTTGAACGTAAACCTATGGGGCTAAGCAACGTTCGCTGTTGCGTATCCCGTCTTGCATGGTGGTATGTGGCGCTGCACATTGTATGCATACGCAATTGTTTATCTTCATGTCACTCATCGTTTTTGTTTTTCCTTCCCTTGTTGTGTCGCTGTTTTGTCGTCCCTCTCAGGTGCATCCTCAGGTGTATCCTTACGTGCATCTTTACGTGCAACGTCTCCCGCCTTTTTTTTTTTTTTTGTTGTCGTTGTTGACCCCCCTTCCCGTTTGAATCCCTCCGTGGCGCGTTTCCCTCACAACGCTTCCTTTTTTTTTTCGCGCCGCTACACCCAGCTTTTTTAAAATGACACCCTCATTTCGTAACTGAGCAAACTTTAAGTGGGATTAGAAAATATGTTTAATTAAAAAATTGCTCACTTTCAGCATTTAAACCGCTCCACTATTCAGTCCTGAAAAAAAAAAGAAAAGAAAACATAGCAGGATATTGTGTGCGTCACAAGGGTGCCATGGCTTCCTTTTATCAACAGTTTCGTTTTGGCAAACATGTAAGGGCGCACTTTTGCATGGATATTTTTGCTGCTTTGCAAAGTTGTGATTTTCTTCCCGCTGGAAAGGAGCCAGTTGTCGTTTTCCCTACGTCCCGGTCTCATATTTCTCCTCTTTTACTTCACTATAGCGAAGAGGAATGATAAAATGAAAGGAATCAACTTAAGGCCCACTTTTTATTCGTTACAAACGAGATGGTAATGAATGCAATTATCGGAAAAATTGCGCACTTGTGTGGAGAAATGCCGCTTTCAAAGCACCCTGGTTCCCTCAGGGTGCACTTGTGTGTAAATCGTTACACATGTATATGCACGCGTCCGCGCACGTCACTTCTCTCCCTCAGCTTCAACACAGCTCTAATCAAGTCCAAAATTGGCATGCTGGAGAACTACGCGAAGAAGAACCAGATGCACAAACTGCGGATGAACGACTTCTTCGACGTCCTGAAACTGTACGCACAATTGGGCGCTCCATATGGGCAGAAGGAAAAAAATTAGCGGCGAGATATGGAAGGACACCATCCGCTGAGAACGGAACAAAGTGGCTCCAAGGAAAACTCCCCCCCCACAACAACATCGGCAAGAGCAGCAGCAGCAACAAATGAAATATAGAACAAAGCCTCAACCGTTTAATAACCCTTACAGGTCCAAAACGGAGGAAGATTACAAGCTGTCCTTGCACCTGCTTAATCTGTACTACAATTTTGGGAGGAACTTAAAAACGCAACAAGATGTTAATTTATTTTTTATTTTCATCCTGAGAACGAAGCAGCTGAACGAGGCCAAAGAGGTAACCACACCATTGCATCAGTGTAGAACTGGAAAGAGAGAAAAGTGAATAGAATCCAAGGTGGGCAGATAGAACAGAGTCCAAGCGTCTGCAGGCCTTTACGTTATGCTTTACCGCTATGTGTGTGCACCCAATTTGGTGCCCTCCCTAGCTGTACAAAAATGCGTAGACACCTGAACAGATAAGTGTACTCCTTCTCATCGCTTCCCTACAACCCCTCCCTTCCTTCAAAGCTGCTTAAATATTTCAATGGATGGCTCCTCTGCCCCCCGTCGAACAAGTACATTTTGCTATGCATGGAGGAATTTTTAAGAAAAAAAAAATATTACGATGTGCGAGAAATATTTTCCTTCATACGACAGAACAAGTAATGATTCAAAAGGAAGTACCCCCAGTGGTGTCTTTGGGGGAATTCTGTTCGGTTGAAGGCCACTTCCACAATGCTCTGTGCATTCGATTTATTTTTCTTTCCTCCCCTTTCCTTGTAGCCAAATAAAACTGGAAAGTTCCTTCTACACAGTGACCATAAAGGCCATGCTGATGTTGGAAAAGAACTCTTTTCAGGAAGCCATGATAGTCAGTGTGAAATGAAAAAAGTCGTTACAGTGATAGCGGCAGATGTCACCTTCGCCAAAATATATGCTCACATAAATATGCACACCTGCGTACCCTCCTCCCCCTCCTTCCCTACTCGCAGATATACGACGATTCGTATGACATGTCTATATATTTGACGAACGAAATTCACAATTTGCTGTTAGGTTAGTTTTCCACACAGGAGATGTTACATTTTCATGTCATGTTTTCATCTGTGTCGAACGAAGGACATATAGACTTACTTATAAACATACGTACTTGTGCCCTCCCCTCACCCATTTCTCCGTAGAGAAGAACTTGTACCTTTATCACACCGTGAAAAAAGAGGTGAATCCTGAGGTACGAAAAAAAGGAACAGAAGTGGGAACAGGGGGTCATTTTGTGGTTCCATTACTATGCATAGTTAACTGTATGTTTTTTTTTTGTTTTTTTTTTCTTTCTTTTTACAATGCAGGAGGAGAATTTACTGAAGTTATACGAAGTGAACGTGGAAAAGATAATTGTAATGACTTGAGGGAATGGCACACATGTGAAGTACACATTGAGCGGACTTGTGCTCCTGCCGACGATCCCGTGTTGGTCTATACCGATGAGCATATTTTTAACCATCCATATTGTGCCGCAATTACCATCAATATTATGCAGCCCTTAACCACCCACTGCACCCTTCCGTAGATACGACTAATAAACGAGTTAATAAAAAATAGAACGTCGATAAAATTGTCCTCAAAGACTTTGAGTCTGTTTGCCTGGGCAGACATGTACTTTGACGTTAATGAAATTATCAAGTAAGCTTCGACTGTACAAGTGGAAACGCAAAAAACAGCCTCGTATACAGTTCATCATTGATTATGTGCCAATATAACTTTTCTGCCAATTTTATTCTCAGGAAAACGAATCATGACTTGGTGGATGTCCAGGCGTGCAACACCTGGTTGGACATTTTAAAATTGTCCTGTCTGTATAATCAAATTCCTGAATGGTCAGTAAAGTGTATAGTTTTTTTTCGCGTGCGTAAGTGCGCAGAGTGGGGCGAGGGGAGGTACAATCTATTTTTTCGTTAAAATTCTTTTTTCTTTTTTTTTTTTTATTTTTTTTCATGTCCACTTTAAAGCCACTGTAGCCCATTTTCGCAAGAATTCAAAACTGTTTTGTGGAGCATGAAGGATGACGAGGAGGTCGCCCGGGTATGCAAGGAGTGCTCCCTCATGCGCGCCCTTACTTTGCGTAGCTCTCTACGCATGTGTAACACGCGTTTTCTAGCTTCCCCCGCGAAATGGCGAAATGGTGAAATGATGAACTGTTTCTCACCTACCTTGCAGGTGCTGGAATACATCAATATATACTTTAACGAAGAATAGGGCGGGAATTTTTTCTTTTCCCCTTTTTGCACCATGACAATTGTTAATTTTCCATTTTGTTAATCAAAGCTTGTGTGTTTTCTTGTTTCCCACTTTCTAGACGACGCGACACGGTGGAGGCGCGTCAGTTTGGTCCTTCGCATGCACAACGCTTTTGCATTTGTTTTGTAAAACTGTGAGGATTAAGAAGAAGAAGAAAAAAAAGCGGATCCAGAGGCCGAAGAGGAAGGCTTCTATCCCCTCTCATCCTTTTTTTTCACTTCATCCCATTTCAGTTTGTTTTTTTTTATGTTTATTTTTTTCCGATAACCCCCTGGGCACCAAATAAGCTTTAAAAAAAAAAAAAAACTGCACAAAAATGTACTCCTCCTCTTTCGAGTCCGCAACGGGGAAAATTTGCACGCACATAGGAAGAAAATATGTGTATGCACAGGACATCCATATGTGCCAGCTCACTTTCGCCACCGTTGCAGGAAGTTCCCCCCCAGGGCAACAACGCGTGTCAATTTTTTGGAATTAAATTTAAACAGTTTTGTGCATAGATATGGATGCGTGGGGGGATAAACAGAATGGGGCAAAAAAAAGGAGTATAAAAAAAGGCAAACAGGGGAGAATAAAAGGGTAAAAAAAAACAAAGTATAAAGGGGGCAATCAAAGGAGCAGAAACAGAAGAATAAAAGGGGCAAAAAAAGGAGCACATAAGAGCGGAAAAAGAATCCGCATTTTAGGGAAAAAAAGCCATGAGAAGCAGCGCGTAAGTTCTTTCTGTTTCAACGGGGCAAAGAGGGTGTCGCCAAAAAAAGCGTAGCCAGGAAGCGTGTAAGAAGCTGGGGTTGATGTTCACTTCTAATTAGTGTGCTGCCCTCTAAGAACAGTGTACGGACATATGCTGGAGATATATATTTCGTAGCAAAGACATAAATGTACAATGAGGAAATGGTCCGGCGAATAAAATTTTCTCCTTGCTATAGAGCGCGCGTATGCACATTGCTAGGCGGATTAAGGAGTATAGAAGGGTTGCGTATTAGCAGGCACGCGGGGCAGGGTCCACATACGACGTTTTCCGGCCTGCTTTCCAACACCACCCCCCGTTCCCATTTGCCTGCTCAAAGGAGTAGAAAAAAAAAAAAAAAAAAGAAAAAATGTATACCCACTTATGTAGCACAAATGCCTGATTTACCCACTCACCACCATGCGGCATACCATGCAAAATTGTTTTCATTTATAAAAAAAAGGTTTTCCCCAGTGATTATTTTGATTCCTCATTTTCCCAAACATTTTGAAAATCCCAATTTGAATCAAAAAATTCAACACAAAAGGAAAAGAAAAGAAAAAAGAATTCTGTTTTTCTCAGCTGATCGCAATAAGTATTAATATTTCTTTTTAACTCAAACGTTTACTTTTACCAAGTTTTAAGGTAGCACCAGCAGTTAAGAGGGACTTAGCAGCAACGCGGCCTTCAGCTCCGTTCATATTAACTTACGATAAAGGCATAGCAGGATTGTAACCCTAGATATATTTTACGAACAAAGTGACTTCGCGTCCGTTCGTGTAACCCCAACGTACATCTCACGTACAGAACACATTTCCCAGGCCCCCCTAGTTCATTTTCCCCCTCCACTCCCCCTTTTGCACGCCACCCACTGTATTTGCAATGTTAGAAAGGAACCCCCTAGCCGGTTACTTCTACCACATGAAAAAGTTTCTTTTTCTCAAGCCAATCATACAGTAAGAGTAAAGAGGTTCGAAAAAAAATAAATAAAAGAAGCAAAGGAGAAAAGAGGCAAAGGAGAAAAAAAGCAAAGGAGAAAAGAAGCAAAGGAGCAAAGATAAAAAGCAAAGAAGCAGAGAAGAGAAGAAGCAACCTCGTGTGAATATCCCTGAATATACGCAATCGCCTGAGCGGACGTGTGGAGAATTGTCCAGCACACGCGCGCGACGAAGCGGTGACCAAGCGACGCGACAGGAGACGTAGGCACACAAGAGCTTGCACCGACTGAGCGAAACAGCAACTCCCCTACACTCATCCCAACGCTGAAGAGTCTCCCCCGAGATAAAACATGATTTTATACCCGCACAAGTATTTCCCCAACACGGTAAAATGCATGCTGGCGGCGCACATTTACAGCTTCCAGGTGGAACTGTGCGACGACTTCTTCTACACACGGAGCTTTGACATAGAGAAGAGTCTCGTAGTGAATAAGAAGCCGCTGCTGGTTTACGAAAACAATTACGTCAGTTCGACGAAGGCGATATGTTTTCTGTTCCATCGGTTGCGAAATGCCGAAAGTAAAAAGTGCTTGGACGATAAGCTACGGATGTACATGTCATGGGTAGAATGGAGTGATCTGCTGGAGAAGCACATCGAAGTATTGAATAAAAAGAAAATAATTGATAGTCTGGATGAGCTGGAGAGTTACCTAAAGGAAAACCAAAATAAAAATTTCATATGCAGCTCGGGAAAAGAACTCCAAGGGGATAATAACGACAAGTTGACATTGGCAGATATCTTTGTATACACCTCACTCACTCACTGCAACATTGAAATCTGCCAAGAGAGCTGGGTACACATAAGCCAATACATACAGAAGATAAACGAACTGGAGGACGTACAGAAAATTCTAAAGGACGTAAAACATATTTACAAATATAAGAACATTTACAATTTATTCATTTCGAAGATTCATGAGAAAAATATCAACTCTTATTTGAAGAAGGAAAAATTTTACCTAACGACGGCGATTAACTATGTGAATGGAGATCCACACATTGGACATGCATACGAAATAGTGCTGGCAGATGCTATTGCCAGGTATCACAAAAACATAGGAAGGAGGGTGTTTTTCACCACAGGTGCTGATGAACACGGAATGAAGATTGCCAATCAAGCGACGAGAAATAATCTCACTCCACAAGAATTGTGCGATAGAAACGTACTTAAATTTAAGGAATTAAACAAATTGTTGCATGTGAATGAGGACTACTACGTGAGAACCACTTGTGATAAACATAAGAAGATTGCACAAGAAATATGGACAAAGTGTGAAGAGAACGGAGACATTTATCTGGGTGAATATGAAGGGTGGTATAACGTGCGTGAGGAGACGTACGTGCCCGAGAATGAAGCGAAATTAATGAATTATAGAGACCCAGTGAACAATATAAAGTTGGAAAAAATGAAAGAATCATCCTACTTTTTTAAAATGTCGAAATATCAGCAAAGGTTAATCGATTATATACTTGAGAATCCACATTTTATCCAACCGGAACAGAAGAGGAATGAGATTTTGCAGAGACTGAAGGAACCTTTGGCTGATCTCTCCTGTAGCAGGACAAAATTTTCCTGGGGAATTCCTGTCCCAAGTGATAAGAAGCATGTTATGTATGTTTGGATGGATGCTCTGATAAATTATTATTCTAATTGCTTCATCGTGGATGGGAAGGAGAACTATTGGCCAGCCGATGCTCACCTGATCGGAAAAGACATCGTGTGGTTCCACACAGTTATCTTCCCCACTATACTCATGTCAGTAAATTTGGATCTCCCAAAGAGTGTATTTTGCCATGGCTTTGTCCTAGCTGCGGATGGGAAAAAAATGTCCAAGTCTTTGGGCAATGTGATAAACCCCTTCGAAATAATAGAGGTCTATGGACCGGATGCTTTTCGCTTCCACGTCATTAAGGAGACAAAGAAAGGATTCGACATGCGCTTCGACATTGACAATCTGGTCGACATGTGTAACTCCGATTTAGCGGACACGATTGGAAATTTGGTCCAGAGGACACTGTCCCTCTGTCAGCTATCAAATGAGTCGAAAATCCCCCCCCTCTTTGAGGAGTACGACATCGATTTGCCCTTCAGCCTGCTGCACTTTATCAACCGAGTGGAATTCCACATGCAGACATATTGCGTCCAAGTGTGTTGTGAAAAAACAGTAAACGTGTGCAAAGATTTGAACAAATTCCTCACAGAGTTGGCCCCATGGAAATACAAAAATGAAGACCAGAATAAAAAATTGCACATCATCAGGATCATGATGGAGGCCATTTATCTCATTGCCCATTATCTGGACATTTTTATTCCATCCATTGCTTCGCAAATTTTCCAGAAATTAAACACCCCCAAGAAAAGTATTGTCGATTTGAACCCCTGGTTGAATAACCTACAAGAAGGGGTCGACATTAATAACGACAACATTTTATTTAAAAAGTTCGAGGTGGAAAGTGCCCAGATAAAAATTCAAAAGGTTATCATGCGTGTGTGCAAAATTGTCAGCATTGTGAAGGAGGAAGAGGGTCAAAAAGCGGCCACCATTTTCGAAATTGAGGTCGATGACCATGAGAAGCACCTCGCTATTCTGTATCTGTCGAAACCTCCCAACTGTGTCGGCATGTTCACTGTTGCTATTATGAATATCAAACCCATCACCATTAACAACATCACCGTTAATGCCATCATCCCGCATGTGAACAAGGAAGTGTTTACCTTTGCCAGGGAGACGAATATGCAGACGGGTACTTTAATTAAGCCTAAGAATTACAAAACGCTCGTAAAGCAACGGGACAATTTAACCAAGAAGGAGGTGAACTCTTTGGAGCTCTCCATTAGTAATGGTCACTGTTTTTTCGAGAAAACCGTGCCCTTGGTTTTCGCCTCATCCGAGGACATGCCCTTCTACCACTCGACGCAGAGCAGCGGGCCCCTCAAATTTTTCTGACCCGCGCGATGCGCCGGTGTAGCGATGCGACTATGCGTCTCTGTAGCGACGTTGCGATGGCGACCCACTTCACTTACTTCACCATCAAGTTGACTACTCACTCACGCAAAGATTTGATGCCCCACCCCCCTTTGTGGGTTTTCCCCTGTGTATTTCCCCTGCGTGTTTCCTCTTGCTTACTGGTCAATGCAGCTAACCCATGCGGATACCCTTATAAGCGGGAAAGCAGGCCACACACACGCAGGCACGAAAAAAAGGTGTGCATTGCATAGGGGACCAAATCAGTGCGCGTAAGCGCATAATGCATACGGATGGGTGCGAAGATATCTCAGCGGACGCACCTGTGCCTATGTATAATTTTTTTTTTTTTTTGAATTAATTTGGCCCCTTGGCAATTAACCATGTGAATATTTGGCAAAGTAACAAAAAAAAGGAAAAAAAAAAGTCAAATTAACATATAAACCTATAAAACTATAATGTGTCTCTCCATATAGACACCCCATTAAAAATAAAAAAAAAATTAATTCGTAAATGATGAGTTTCCCCTCCGCGAATTATCTGCAACGGAGACACTTGGCAAGGGGCCCCTTTTGTGACAGCCCATTTGGAACCCCGGCCAAATGGCGCGTGAACGCCACACACGCGGGGTTCACTACCCTAACCGCGGCGAAATATGCGGAAAGGGGGAGAAAAGTCGTATATAACTTCACCCTAACCTGCTTCACAAAAATAGCTTGCGATACAACCTCCCATGTAGCTTTCCAGTGGCCAACTAGGCACCTTCCCTGTTGATGAACCGCCTAACTGTTTAGCACCTCCAGGAGCGCCACCGTGATGTAGGAAGATTTGGGCAGGGAGCAAGTCAAAAGGACGGAGGCCGTTGTTCGATAGTTGGGTACCTCCTTAATTAGATGCTCGTGGTAGACGTCACTCTGGACGAAGGTGATGTGCGTCTGCATTTCGTCCGCCATGCGTGTTGTAGCCGCGGGATTGGCGTCGTCCCCGTTTGGCTCTTCACTCGTCGCCGCAGAATTCGCCTCCGAGTGGGCCGCACACCCCTCCTGCTGCAGCAGCCTGCTCAAATCACTCCGTATGAAGGGAATCCTACCCTTACCCGCTGCGTCACTTTTAATAAAAAGGGACTTGAAATCACGAGGCTTTACAACGACCTTTCGATAACCGCCGGGCGCGCTGAAGAAGTTCTTTTCGGATCGAAAGTCCTCTAACGATAAGTGCAAACTGCTCAACACAGATTTGTATTCTTCGGTGAGGTTAGGAGGAAACACCAAATTCTTATCTCCAGGTAAAGGTAAAACGACATCGTAAATATCGTACAGAGAAATATTTTCATGTGTCACTACGATTATGTTCGTTTCGTATAATGGTTCGTCACTTTCTGACTCATCTGAGTGATGCTCAGTCGAATTATCACTGGTTAGAACTTGTTCATTGTTACGATTGGACTCGATAAGATCGTCGACCACGACGCCAAAGCCATACTTCTTCATTCGAATGTCCGCAAGGATGTTGAATATGAGACTTTGGACAGAATGTATAAAGAGGGAAAATATATCCTTGGGTAAATTCATGAATGAATTTTTAAATTTTTTATCATTTTTTAAGGAGCACAAAATTGTTTTTTCTACATGGGAGTCACTCGAAATGGAGTTTACTATTTCGAAAATATCTTTCGGCAGTTGGTTTTGCTCTTCCTTTGCGTTTCTGTATGGTGTGCCGTTCATTTTTTTTTCTTTTTTTTTCTTAAAGAAGGGTTTCTTTTCGCAATTTGGTGGGGGCAGAGCGACGTCCTCAACGCGTGCGGTTGGGCCTCCCTTCTCGTGTGCGTCGTTTTGGTCTCCTTCTGCCTGACCATCCTTCTGGTCTCTGCACGCATGTGACTCATCATTGGGTGTGGTCAGGGCGACGAACTCACCTGTCTCTTCCACCCGATTTGTCGCTTCCCCTTCCCCTACCACCCGATTTGACGCGTCCAACTCGTTCAAGTACTCAATGAGGCGAGCCTTCTTGGAGCTGTCCAGCCCGGCATTCTCAATGACGTGGAAGAGAGCCTGCTTGTAATTCTTCTTCAGTATGCAGATACCAATTTCGTAATTTTTTATTTGCTTACTGCCAAACCGTTGGTGGCCGAAGTAGTTTACAAATCCTGCCTTCCTAAAGTTGTCGGCGAGAGCGCAAAATTTCTCCTCCGAGGTGTCCTCCACTCCCCTGATTAGCACCTTGAAGAAGTTCCCCTTTAAATCGCCCAGGGAGAGTTTTCTTTTTCTGTAACTCAGATTCGACACGTAGACGTTCTTGCACCGGGAGGGGGAGCCGCCCCTACCACCACTTCTATTGCGGCTCCCACAGTCCCCCCCCATTATCATCCTAAACAAGTCAAACTTCTTCGCCTTGTGAATGCAAAACCTCTGCACTGTTATTCCCCTCTTGTCCTTAATTCCACAGTATGATATGTCTCCATTTTTTTTCTTTAAATTTACTTTTATTTTGTGCAATACTTCGCATATGTCTTTGTTTTCTTTGTACATATTAAAGTGCAGGTACTTCTTTCCCTTTTTCTGTTCGCTTTTCTCCTTCCTGTGGTCGTTCAGTTTGTCCAGGAAGTTCCCCCCTGCAGTGTCTTCGGAGTGTTCTCCGTGGCTAAGCTGGTTGCAATCGGTGTGACCGGTGTCACCATTTTTACTAACATTGGAGAGGGAAACAGGCCCGTTGGGAGGAAGGCCCTCTTCGTCACATGTTGGGGTGGTCTCCTTTGGTGGGTCTGCCCCTTCCTTCTTGTCTTTTGAACCGTCACAAGGGGAACCCCCACAAAGGTTGGAAGTAGTGGCCTCTCTTTCCGGTTTGCCTTTCGCTTCGATTTCCACTTTGACTTCCGCTTCCCCGCGCCCCTTCTTATGCCCCCCCGGGGTGTTCATTCCCCCCCTGCAGTTGCTATCGAAACTCTGAGACAAAGTTTCGCACTCAATTTTCCTTTTCTTATTTTCGAAGAATCCCTTTGCAGCGTCAGAGCCCTCCGGGGAAGATTCTTCTGGGTAAAACTGCCTAACCTGTTCAGGCAATTTTGTGATTTTTTTTTTTTCTTCCATTTCGTCCAACTTTTGGCAGATAATATCTTCCAGTTGGTCGTTTTCTCTGAACCGAGATTTCTTCGCATTTCCTTTTAATTTGTTAAATATATCCTGTGGCAAAATAGTCTTTAGGCAATTAAAGGATGGGTAAATTTGTATGGCGTTGATGTGTACATGGGCGTTTTCCTCTTTGTTGAACTCTGCACTGTTATTACCCCGGTTGGCATTTCCTTGTAGTATGTTTCCATGCGAAAGGACGCTTTGGCTCTGGGGGACATTCTTCGTCTCCGTCAGGAGAAATGGGTAATATTGCTTTATAACGTTGTGAATGTTCCTTCGCGCGGCTTTGTTTCCATCCGTTGGTTCCTCGAGGGGGAGGCCATCGCTACAAAGAGGTTCTTCACCGGGAGTGGCATCCCTATTTTCATCTAAGTGGGGCTCCGCTTGAGCAGGCATCTGATCCAGGTGTATAAAGAGACAATACGGAGTGGATACTTTCTTCAAGCCGTCCCTCGTTGTCTCCTGCGGTAATTCACCCGCCTCACTTTTCATCTTTAACTGATATATGTTGTGTAATAAGGTAAGAAATTGCTTAAACGTTTCCACATTGTGTCTGTTTACATACTTGGCTAGCACATGCAGGTGTAAGTCCCTTTTGGAGATGCTTCTGATTAATTTCTCCTTCTCGTCTTTCTCAGTCTGGTGAATAATTTGATTAATTTTTTCTCTATCTATGAGCTGTTCCAAGTGCAAAATGTTGTTGTTTCTTGTAATTTCGTGCACATGGAAATCTTCATAGATGGTTTTTATTTTCCCTTGGATGCCATCCATTCTGTGTATGTTTTTTCTAAACAGGTAATCGATGCCATGGTTTTTGCCGAATGGGGAATTCTCTCCACTTGTGTCGGTCATAAGGGTTAGCAGAACGGCGGTGATAAACAGGATCACAGTTGGTACGTATGGCCGCACGTATGCATATATACAGTATGGGACAACTTTTTTTTTTTCTTTACTTGTACATATATGTATTGTAACGCAGGAAGGGTCTATCGCAAGTGAGCTGCAGCATCTGCTAGGCAAGTGACAACATGTAATTTGGGCATTACAGAAAGATGTAACATTTCACTGGGGATGGGGTGGGGGAACTTTAAAAAGGGGAAAAACGTTTTTTGGGTTCGCTCAACGTGGGGTGAAAAGCGTAAAAAGCATGGAGGAGGAATGACGTTGGATTTGGAGGAGTTGGAAGGTCCCTATATTCTTTTACCATAAGGGAAGGAATACTGTTTTAGTGAGTGCCACAATCTACTAGTCTCACTCAGCAAGAGAAAGGAAATATACACATATAAGTATCTATATAATGTACCACTCGCTCAGCAGGCATAGCCTCCTCCGTTTGCCCTATTTTTTTAAGATGACCTATGGAGGAAAAAGAACCACAACCTTTGCAGTTGTTTTGCGCGATTTCCCTCTTTAGCCTTTCAAAAAGGGGGTCGAGAGGATGAGAGAGAGAAAAAAAAAAAGAAATAGAGAAAGAAGGAAAGAAAGAGAGCTAAGCATAGGTACATAAACGCATCTGCTTCTTTTTCACTTCGCACGTAGAACAGCCTCTCCGTGAGTAGATTGTCAACGGGGACCTCTCCCTAAGTGGCTTGAAAAATGGATTCACCACTTGGCGCGAAAGGGGCTAATACAATTCGAATGAGAAAGATACGCTGGAAGGGGGACCTGAAATGGGAAAGAACAATTCAGAAGCAGTTTGAATGGCTACCTTTGGTGTAAAGGGCAGCATGGAAGAGAACGAATACCTGTGGTACTCTACGCATAGGTCGTTGTTACCTATTTGTGCACATTTTTGTATTTGTATTTTTTTTTTGTTTGTTTTTATTTCTTTTTTTTCCGTGGGGAGGCACCTTTGGGGGGTTCTCAAACCTTTGCAGTTAGCGCCAAATCGTTGTTCGCGTCTTTTTTGTTTCTGCCAACCCGCCTGGAATTAGCCCAGTGGGGGCATTTATGTGTTTTTTTGTTTGACTCAACGGAGTGATAACGCTCAGTTGGTATAAATTCGGGAGGGAAAAAAAAGAAAAAACGGGTTACATCTTGAGAAAGAAAAAAATGAAATCTTTCCCAATGTGGACACATTTGTTGTGATTCTACCTGGTGCATTGCTCGAGAGACATTTTTTCCAAGGTGGCGCATCCTCTGGTGAAGTTTATCCCGGTCCATACATACACATATGAACGAAGATGGTGAAACGCTGTTATGTCGGTCAGCCAAAAGCAGCTTTCTAGGCCCACCATACGAATTAGCTTTACTTCGCTAGTTTGAAAAAATTGAAAGACGCGTTTTGCTAGTGAATTTCCAATCTGTTCGATGTTATCGTCTATATCCAACTGTTATTTCTATTCTATTCTTCTTTCCCCTTTCCCTTTTTTTGTGGAGAAATGTCTCCTCACATGTGCTAGGGAAGAATCCGATCTGGATGTTGCACCCCACTTGGGGAAAAAAAAAAAGGTCTTAGCCGATGCTAGACTATACCTTTTTTTGTCCTCACCCATGTGGATGGGTGGAAGGAAGGCATGCGTACTCCAGTTCCTAGTTAGATGTTGGTTGTTCCACCTTGAGGTCTCACTTGAAATTGTGAAAAAAGATGGAATATTTTTTTTTTTTTCTTCTTCGCCACTTAGTGATCTACCTTTAATGCAGGATAATCGGTTGTTCACTTTTTGTCAATTTGGAAAGGTGTAAAAAAAGAGGCACCTTGTTTGGAAGTGCATAGGAAGAGCGTTTAAAGTGCCGTTTTTCTATTTTTTCGTTTCCCTTTTGCCCTTCCCCCACAACCTCGGTAAGTACGACTACGTAGCAATGTGTTGTGAGGTAGTTAAGGTAGAACAACTTTGAAAAAGACATTTTTTATCAGCCGAAGGTGGAGTTAATTTTCGCGCATGCAGAGGGGTAAAAGCATCTTTTGTTTTATCCTTACCGGTTTGGAAAAAAAAAAGAAAAAAAACGACCTGTACGGGGGGAAACAATCAGGACGACATGTGTGGAAAGGAAATCACTGAACAGCGATGAAGGAGCCAGTGGCACAATTTGGTGCTCCTCACCATGGCTGCATTGTTCACTTACCGAGTATGTTCCTTTTCTATGTGTAAACACCTTGCAAAGTATAATTCGAAGAGGTCGCAATGGCATGCGACAACATTTGTGAAATGAAAAAGTGCAGATCATCCCTTGCACATTCACCTTATTGCAGTTGTCAAAGTGGAATTTTTTTTATTTTTTTCCATAAGTGTTAAACAGAAGGACACACATATATAGAAAAGACCGATTGAGAAATTCACTTTGAGAGAAAAACAAATAATCTCTTTTTATCACCATGAAAAAAAAAAAGACGTCATAATTGGTACTCCTATAAGTTAATCCGGATTCAATAGGAATATTCTTCTTTTTTTTTTTTTTTTTTTTGCCCCAACTCACGGCTTACGAAAATGAAGAGCATAATTCCACATTTCGTTTTTCTTTCTCATCCTGCTGATACGATAACTTACACGTGAGTACAAACTGACAAGGGGAAAAATTACGAGTCACGCAATTGGAAGTTTAACAATCGGTTCAGTATATAGTGACTGGGAGAGTGGTCAGAAGGGCATCGAAGAATACAAAGCAAGCGATGATGATGTGGAGGTGGAACGGGACAGTTTCAGAGAAGGTGCATTGGATATCCATGTGAGGAGCGACGAAACCGAGGCAGGTCCCTTGGATGAGCGGGGTAACACCAACGTTGTGAAAAATCAGCAGCCTGAATAAGGTGTTAAAACTGTTAACTATGCGGATGCGCCAGCCTCGATAGGCGATACTGAAGTGGACAATGAAGAGATGGGCGGTGATGAGATGAACACTGAAGTCATAGAGGCAGGCGTGAGGGACTCAGACGTGGTGGACGATGAAGAGGTATACCACGAGCAGGTCCATTACGAACAGGTGGACGATGAGCGGGGAGACGAGCCAAATTGGGATGGAACGAACAAGTAAGCACCAACCGAGGCAGAAGACGCGGGGCGCAACAGATCTTATCATCATAGAAAGAGCGAGACCAATGATGAGGCACAAAGAAACATCGATGCGGATGCAATAAAAATGGGGACGCCTGAACGTACTGGCGGAGACTCAGGGAGGCAAAACAATGCCACGCCTATGGATGCAAATCATTTGGAACAGCCAAACTAGGAAGGCGAACAAAGGAAGTATGCACATGATGGAAGCAGCCCTGGGGGGGGTGAACAGGAAGAGTGGGGAGGGCACCTCTTTAGAAGGTAAAGAGGGGGGAAACATGAAGGAGCAGAACGATGAGGAAGAACACGGAGGCGAAACGAAAGAACCAGAAGGGGGAGAAGCATAGGGCTGAGTTCCAACATGTGATGCCAAGACACACTATCTGCTCATCGGAGATTATAAAAATGCGAATGACATTAAGAAGGAAGCCGGTGCTTTAGTAGGAACAATGATTAACATGCTTGATAAACGCGCAGAGGAGGATGAGGTAAGAATGTTGGCCCAAGACTTGACTCAATTTTTCACCACTAATTTAAACACCCCAAAAGGGAGACTCTCCGTAAGTCATTCATATCTATAGGGGCATATCTCGTAGGAGAGTTCTACACGAAGCAGAGCAGGTTGTTGTGAGAAAAAACGTTAACGTTAGTTTTGTGCTTTCCGTTGAATAGGGAATTGAGCAGTGTAAGTAAGTAAAGTCTGTGCCTTCCCTACCTAAGTGTGACCCTCATTTGCAGCAATAAAATGAAAAAAGTGAAAGTTTGGAAAGTTCTAAAGACGGGGAAGTGCCCTCTCATTCGTAGTTACGTAAAATGAGCCTCATCTAACAGATGGCTGTTCATAACATTCCCATAACAATGTATGTACGTAGTGATAGTCCGGCTGTAAGATATCCCCTCATGTGTAATTAACGAACGATATTGTTTACCCAATTGGACGTTTGAGAGTGCGCCAAAAAGGGAATGGACAAATTGGCAACCTCCTACATGATATAAAAAAAAGAACTCCTTCCGTTTGCATTTCATGTTGGTGAATTGTTAAAGGTGTGATTGTTGAGTGGATCAATGCACATGTCGCGCGGTTTATGTGTTCTGTGTATATACCTGTTTGTTCTGTCCGCATGAACAATTTCACCTTTTTACTCCACGGCAGTGTGTACCCATTTCTCTAGACAAGTTCACACAAACAATTAATCGCCCCAAGAGAAGGACTCCCCTATCTGAGCACATTGATCAAAATGGTTAAAAAGTGTGAAGCGAGCAGTGTGTTCCTTTTCCATGGGGCTATTCACATGGTAGGAAAAAAGAACATTCCGCGTCCGCAAAAAAATTGACCAAGTGGAGGGGACGTTCCTGCAGCTGCCATCGACATCTCCCCCTGTTAGTAAATCGGAAACAATTTTCTCGTTTTGTAAAAAGTGAGAAAAGATAATCCACATGAAATGGCAATTAATGCAGAAAGGAAGATTCCCCCTACTGGCGAAATGGGTTGACTTGGCAAAAATTAAAATGTGCTGTCGGAGGGGACTTTAACGTGGCTGTTTAAAAAGGTGTAATTAATTTTTCGTTTACCCAACGGAGGGGGGGTGGCTTCCTCCAGAGAAAAAAAAAAAAACAAAAAACAAAAAAAACAGCAGAACGACGACTTTCATTTTGGCTAAACGTAATTAAATGTTCTAATTTGTGAAAATTTTCCCTGTTTTGATTTTAAGGTTGTGTAAGAAAAAATCAGGTGTCGTAGAATCGAAAGCAGCATGTTGCAGAATCAAACAACGATCAAAATTGCACATTTGGAAAGGCAAAAAATTTATGTGGAGCAAAGCGAGCAGAAGAGAGAGTCTCCCGCGGTCAGTTAATTTCTCTATGGGCAGGCTATCTCGTGTCCCTTTGCTTCTGTTTCTCATGTTTTCCTTTCTGTGAAATTTGTTTCATTTTACTGGTGAAAGATTTCCCTTTTTTGGGGGGGAAGATTTCCGTTTCTTTTTTCCTCCGTCGTTAATTTTCCGAGTTTCCCAATCACATGGTGTAAAATGGCAGTGACCTTGCCGCGTTCTGCAAATTGCCTTGGGAACTCGTTTCTTTGCTTGCACGCCGTTTACACACGTGTGTGTGTTGCAGAGAGGTACTTAACGTGCGTCCAAGGAGCAAACTGTTCTGATTTGTTATAACCTTGTTTTCTTCTCATCTCCTCAAAATTTTCTAAAATTAACTGAACCGCGCTGCTCAGGACGGAAAATTCGTTGGGCCACTTTGTTAGTTTATTCATTTTTTCTTTTCCTTTTAACAACAAAAGTTTTACAACAGCAAAGGCAAAGAGCCAAAAGCGAAGCCGCCAAACCACCAATTTATGCTCCAACACTTGTGAGCATTTCCAAAACTGCATCTGAAAGGGGTCTAACATTTGAACAGACCTTTTTGCCACTTGCCAACTGAGCTACTTCGCCGCTTTGCGAAATTTCCCCAAATTAGAACTCCCCCTCACGGAATCCTCAGATGAGAAACAGCGTGGGCCTAATTTTCTGTTTATTTTTTCTAAACCAATTTGTATGGGGGAACAAGGCAGAGACCGTCGACGCCGTCCAGAATGTGGGGGCCATAAATTTGAAGAGGCCTACCTTGGGGATGGTCCCGAGGGAGAGTCCTGGGGGGGTCGGTCAGGAGGTTAGTGACAGGGTTGCCAAGGAGGGTGTCCTTAGTGATGACTTACCTGTCGTCACACTAGCCGCGGAAGAATTGTCACCTGAAGTGGTCACCTCAGAAGAACCCCCCTCAGGTGATTCTCCATCCACCCTCGCAGTGGCAACTGAAGAAAACCAGAATAAAGAAGCAGAGGAGACACTAACCCCAGCCCATGCACAACCGTGCCCTGCAACCCCCGTCGAAGGTGTTGACGCTTCGGATTCCGTAGTACCGGAAAAGGAAGGAACGTCCTTAGAACAGCATCTCCCAGTGGGGACGGAATGTCAGGACGAGGCCCACCCAGGATGTTGCAGCGACTGTAGTGAACCTTGCTTACCTGGATGCACAGAATATGAGAGCCAATGCCCAGATTGTGAAAGCGAATGCTCAGAATCTTGTAACGCTGATGTTGTATGTCCAGAGGACTGTTGCGTTGATGGGAGCTGCAAAACCGCTCCTTGTTCAGGAGGCCCAGCATGTGACGCATGCCAGAGGGAAAATGAAAATCAGCCGATAGACAAACCTGTGGAAGCTGGTGCTGCTAATGCTGCTGGTGCTTCTGGTGCTGCTAAGGCAGCTGGTGCTTCTGGTGCTGCTAATGCTGCTGGTGCTGCTGGTGCTTCTGGTGCTGCTAATGCTGCTGGTGCTGCTGGTGCTTCTGGTGCTGCTAATGCTGCTGGTGCTGCTGGTGCTTCTGGTGCTGCTAATGCTGCTGGTGCTGCTGGTGCTTCTGGTGCTTCTGGTGCTGCTAATGCTGCTGGTGCTTCTGATGCTGCTAATGCTGCTGGTGCTTCTGGTGTTGCTGGTGTTTCTGATGGTTCTGGTGCTTCTGGTGCTGCCGATGGTTCTGGTGTTGCTGGTGTTTCTGATGGTTCTGGTGCTTCTGATGGTTCTGGTGCTGTTGGTGGTGGTGCTGCTGCTGGTGGTGGTGCTGCTGCTGGTGGTGGTAATGGTGCTGATGCTTCATCCGAGGAGGAGCAGAAAACCGAACAAAATAAAGCTCCTTTGGCCAGTGAAGAAGCTGGAGAGAAGAAACAAAAATCCCCAATTGAAAACAACTCGAATGATGAGGAGGCCGACAATGTGATGCGTGAAATATTTAATGAACCAGGAAAAATTGATCATAGCGAAGAAGCCGTTTTGGAAGAAAAGGAGGAGGAAGGCCACGACATGGTGGATGAAAATGGGCAACAAGAGAAGGGAGAAGTGTACGAAGAGGAGCATACCGAGGAAGTTGCAGACAGTCAAGAGCATGTCGAGGAACAAGATGCGGAGTTTCCATTCAATGACACCGAAAGAGACAACATCGCAATCCGTAATATTAAAACAGAAACCGAGAATTTAGTAGCCGACTTCTTGACCATGCTGAACGTAGATGACGGAATCAGTCAATCCCTTAAAATGTTAGTACAAGACATGGCTCAGTACTTTTTACATCACTTGGACGCGAAAAATTAGGTTGCATGATTTACTCCACGTTAAGGTGTTGCATAGTGAGGTATGTAAACCTTTTGGCGAAATGGAAAATTATTTTATTTTTTCTTTCTTCTTTTTTTTGTTGCATATATTAGCCAGGGGATACACAGAATGGTATGCGCCCCTCGTTGTTCCCTTTTTTTTTTTTGTAAGACTTGCGCAGTTGCAAATGTCTGGAAACTTGCTTTAGCTGGGCATACATGGAGGACGCGTCTGCGCAGGTGGGCAGTTCACCCACTAAGCATTTTTGAAAATATCGAAAAGGTGTGTAAGTGAGGACATGTGCGAAATTGGTTCTTTGTTAGCTTGTTAGGGAGGTAAAAAACGGGAAGGAGTGAAATAGGGAAAAGATGGGGGGGAATGGAAAAAATGGGGAAAAATGGAGAAAAATGGAAGGAAATGGAAAAAAAATGGGAAGAAAATCACGAAAAGGTTCCGAGGAAAACGGAACAGGCGCAGTAAATAAAAAAAGGGAAAAATAGGTACACAAACATCAGATCAAACTAACGAACTCTTTTTTTTTTACGCCAAATGTACATTCCCCTTTGCACACATTCTTCTTTGGAGAAGTTCTTCTTTTTCGATAAGTGTTAACTGTTAAGTTGTACATATTCCACATTTGTTTTCCCTAAAAATATCAAACGGAACAGTTTCTCACATCATTCTTTGTAAAAGAGAGCACTACGGGGGGGTGCAAAAGTACGAAGCGGTTAAAATTCGTCCGCTTTAAATATTGCAAGGGGAAAAGCGATAACAAAACAAAAAAAAAAAAAAAAAAAAAAAAAGACAAGCTTTCGGCTGGTTGTATACCCTTTTAACTGACTTAAGGTGTTCCAATGAAGGAGTTTTTAACGGTGAAGTTGCCTAAGTGTGAATCGTCGCTCCGTTTGACGCTCCACCCATGTAACGCTCCACTCATGTAACGCTCAACTCATGTAACGCTTCACTCATGTAACGCTCCACTCATGTAACGCTCCACCAATGTAACGCTCCACTCATGTAACGCTCAACTCATGTACGCTCCACTCATGTAATGCTCCACTCATGTGACGCTCCACTCATGTGACGCTCCACTCATGTGACGCTCCACTCATGTAACGCTCCACTCATGTAACGCTACACCCATTCGGTTATTCGTTCCCCTTTTTACATTCCCATCTTAATCTCCCAAATGTAGCGACAATGGTGTCATGATAAGTGTGCACAAAAAGGATAAAAAAAAAAAAAAAACGAACAGACAGAGAGACAAAGCAGCCTGAAAAATACCCCAGTTTTATACCCCTCAAGGGGAAAAGAAGTTTAAGAAAAAAAAAAGAAAAGAAAATGCGCCCTTTCCTATGAAGCGCAGGGTTACATTTCTCCCTTTTTGGTGTGAATTTTCAGAGTGCTTGTCACTACCCCATTCCAGTCCGATCGCTCAACCGGATGATGCCCTCGCTAATGTGTGCGTTAAACTTAATTTCTTTTTCGCAAGTTTGAGTTGGCTTGGCTAGTCCTGACCAATTCTAGCTAACTTTTTTATTTTCTCATCTTATTACTGTATTTTGTTGCTCTATTCTGCCACTCTATTTTATTTCGCTATTTTGTGTATTTTTTTTTCCCCCTGGGGGCAATTTCATCCCTGTCGATCGGTTACGCGGCCCAGTGAAATTACATCCTGGCCATTCCGTTTGCTTTCTCGATTCGCCTAAGGCGACTAGTCCGTTAACGTAAGCGAGTTGCATACCAGCGCAGTACCTAAATAACTCCCCCCTGTGTGTGTAACTATTCGTACGCAACTGTGCACCTCTAAGTGTGTGTTCCCCTTTCCTGTTTCCACGCGTGTAGTAATTAAGAAGGAGTTAAAATGAAGGCCATTTGGAAGATCCCTTTTTACCTTTTCCTTGGGAACATTTTAATTTACTTAAATTGTGCGAAGGTTGCCAATTCACATCAGCAAAAAACGAATTTGAGAAATGGGTTTGGACAAACTGGCAACTTGATTGGTCATGGGGCGGTCAAGGGAGATCCAAATTTGAAAAAGCACAATGGGGGAGCGTTCCCCGTGCAGGCGAATGACAATGAGCAAGCGGTTTCGGGCAACACACAGGAACCGGAGGAAGGAGCTCAAGTACCGCAAGCACCGGCACAATCGGCAGGAGGGCCAACATCCCCAGCAGAGCCAGAAGATCATAACAGCTTACGAGAAGTAGAATCCTATGAAAAAGATAAGTGTATCAGTTCGAAGGAGGAAGAGGTGTTGCAGGAAAGGGAATTAGAAGACGACGTGGAGAAGGAGGATGCTCACGAAGGCAACACGGAGAAAGGGGAAGGAAGTGATAGCACAAATGATGACGATGTGAACCTGGAGGATGGCGATGAGGAAGTAGAGGACGAAAATGAGGACCAAGAATATTCGGAACAAATAGCAGAAACGCAGAACCCGCAAAAAATGCCAATGGCGCAAAACAAGCACTCTGATGTAGGACATGAATCTCTAATCACCGAAGCCATCATCCATAGTGTTCTTGCGGAAAAGTACAATGAGATCGTGAAGGATAAGAAAGCAGCCGAAGCCTTCGTGAATACTTTGCTGAATTTACTAGACGGTGATAACAGCGCAATCGACGATGCCATCAAGCATTTGGCTGGTGACATTTCGCAATTCGTCTTCAAGTCAAAGAAATAGCGTGTGCTGGCGATTGCATGTGCACACATGGACTGGCGTGAGCGAATCGGTTGGCATAATTAAGCGCTTGGGCGATTTTCCCCAGTGGCGCATAAAGAATCATGCTGCCAATAATAGACCCCGAATTTGTCACCCAACAAGTGATACACACATGATGGAAAAAAAAAAGGTCTTTTACAAAACAACTGTGAGGTAAGCAAATGTTAAGATGATTTTTTTTTTTATTAAAATAACTTTTGTATGGGATTAATAAAATTTACTGCCTGCGCGAGTGGGACAAACCAATTGGGGTTCATTTTCACTAAGAACAACATACGTGAGTTGTAAAAAAAGGGGGGAACACAAAAAAAGGAAAATTTATCAATCCGATAATCAGACGGATATGTGTACCAATTAAATTGAGGTAATTTTTTTTTTTTTTTCCCTTCTTGTCACTCCAATGGGGAAAGCATTTCTTGCAATGTATGCTAGTTAAAGTTCGAATAAGTGCGTGTCTCGTGTGGATCATCCGTACTGGGCCCATTTGTAAAACCAGAAAGTCGTTCTTCACACGACACATGGGAAAATGATTTTATGTCGAGGGGGTTGTAATCCATTTGGGTGGAGAATTAGAAATGAACAGCTCCTCAGTTAAAAAAAAAAAAAAACTAGCTGAATAATTTTCCCAATTTATTTTCACTTGACCGGATAGGGAGCAGTGTACTTTTTCTTAGCCTATGTGGTCTACTTCCCAAGGGTGACGGTCCCCCCTTTGGTATTTTTTTTTTTTCGCCCCCTAGTTAATCGCTTAAAATGATGTCTTTTATGGGAACGTTCGGGGGAGAGATTCCAAGCGTTTTCATACGGGGAAAGCAAATCACCTGTATGGAAGCTCCTCAGCTGTGCACTTGTTCGGTTGCTTATAACGTGTAGAAAGGGAGGGGGCATGCCAAATGGGGAAACAATTCCGCTGCGCAGTTGGCAAGTAGCCTCACACACACGAAGTCTAGAAAGACAAAATGAAGGGAAGTGAACTTTGTGAGGAGGCACATTCTCCCCCTTACGACCAATTACCCACTTGTTTTTTAACTCTTTTTTTTTTTTTTTTT